GAACAGTAGTATAATACCTCTCAATATGTTCACACGGGATTCCCCATTCCATTTCATTTCATGGGGAAAGTGGGAAACATATTGAGAGGTCCCAAAAAAAAAAAGACTTAAACACCCTACATTTCATAAATTCTTACACCAAAAACACCTAATCAATTCCCACTCCATACACACCCAACATTCCATCGATTCACACACCAAAAAAGAGCCTATTCACCCTACAATTCATCATTAAATTAAGTTTTGACGAAAAAAGCATATTAAAGCTTATACAAAATAACTTTCCTGTTTTACATCCGGTTATTAATAATGTAAGGAAAGATAACCATAGGATTACCATATAAAATACATCTACAAAGAGAAATTAATGATGATCAGATATTCTTTGGAGAGAATCGTTCCAGATGCAAAATTAGAATTAACGAATCTCCAACTTTTCATACCCGTAATAACACGTTCAATTGAAGTAGAAACGAGAATATTCAACTTATTAACTAAAGATATTGAAATAGCTTTTCTTCATCGTAATACGGTAGGTAGCATGACTTTAACTGGACTACTTGGCCAATCATCAATACTATTAAACCAGCAAGATATTTAATAGTTGGTTTCAAGAACTTACCAGACTTACAGACGAATAACAATAATATCTTTAGAGTGGCAATGAACCAAACTCAAGATCCTATAATCCATAAAGTTCAAGTAAGATTAAACAACGATAATTATCCTAACCAACCTTTAACAATTAATCCATCCACGAAGGATTATAATGAATTCTATAGAAACTATAAAAATATGTGTGAATTATTTGGAAATCTACCTCAGTTTGAATATGTAGATTTTGCACTTAATCATCTGTTTTGATCTATCAGCCCATCAAAAAGATCTTTTCAAAACAGGAGTGAACATAAATATTTATATTGGAAAAACACATGGATTATGGCAGATAGAAGAATGATAAGAATTGAGTAAAAAATACACCCTTAAAGATGAAACTTTAGTCAAGAAAATAATAGAAGCTATTGAAACAGCTTCACCAACTGTAATAACTTTCAATGGTAAAAAAATCAGCATAACTAAAAAACTTATTGATAAATACAAATATTGTGAAGTCAGAGACTTAGAAAGAATTGACGCCAACGCCAAGGAAGGTGGATTTTTACCTTTACTACTACCTTTGATATTTGGTGGTATCGCAGCGGCGGGTTCAGCAACTGGTGGGATATCTGCCGCAGTCAAAGCTGCCAACGCAAAGAAAGCAGCTGATGCTAAAGCCGCTGATAAACGCAGACATAATTTAGCAATTGAAAAGCAAGCACAGAAAGCAGCTACTGCAAAAAAAGGTTCAGGAGTGGGAGATATGATAGGCACAATAAAAGAATTAGGGAAAAGATTTGGGGCAGAAACCAAGAAAACTGTTAAACAAGGATTAAATAAATTAGTAGATAGTATTGACACAGGAGAAATTAAAGTCAAACATAAGGGTAATGGAATATTTTTAAAAAACATACGCACTGGAGAAGGATTATTTCTTTCAAAGTATAAAGGAGAAGGAGTGATTTTTGAAACAAAAATATAGAATTAAAAATGGGAAAGAAATTCAAACATTCAGAAATATAGTTTTAATGGTTTTACAATAAGATTTAGTCCAAATTCACCACAATTCAAAATCGATACAAAAGACTTTATATTTACATTATCAAAAGGATTAATAGATTTAATAAATGGCGAGGATATTCCCATTGCCGATGACAAGGATTTAGTAGCATACTCAAAATTTCTACATGCGATAAGAAAGTCCGGACCCGGAACAAATAGATCGAAAGAAGTTAAACTATATATAAGAGTTATTGGTCAAGATGATGAATGCGAAGTTGACGAAGTACATGATTATGCTGAAGACAACAATCCAATCATACAAGAAATAGACGAATTCGAAGATATGGTATCTGGAGAAGGTATAACGTTTTTATCCGACAACAACGAGGAACTACTTAATAGATTACGAGTAATATTAGCGGCAATGAAGGAAGGACATCAATCACACAGACAATTTAATGAAGTGAATTGTATACTAAAAAGACTTCTGAAGAAAGGTATCATAGATAAAAATGATTATAAAATCGTGATTAAAAATGTCAAATAAAGAACAACTATTCGTTATCACCACAAATAGACATTAAATTGTCCCTAGATTATGAGTACGAACTCGATCGCAATCAAGAATATGAATTGGGATTAAAGTATTTCTCTGTTTACAATTCCATTAGAAATATCAACGAAAAAAATAACTAAATAAAAATATCAACAGATAACGGAGTTACATTCAAAACCATAAGTTTACTACCAGGAAGCTACGAATACGTAGTCATTAACGGTTACCTTTCTGAATATGGAGGAAGTCTAAATGGTAGAAACTATATTGAATTCGAAGGTAATTTGAATCTGAACAAAATAAAATTGATATTAAGAAATAAGAGAAAAGTTGATTTCAACGTAGAAAATTCATTAAATATTTTACTAGGCTTTGATAATCCACTTTAGCACCACGCAAAGCTAATATCGAGAATGATATCGATGTCATTAATATTCACTGCAATTTGATAAACGGTAGATTTTTCAACAAATACATACGTCAGATTATCTACAGCATTCCAACATTCACTGTACCGATTGGATATCATCAAATTCGTAGTTGTCATCCATGATCAATTCTTTTCCGTCATTGTAAGGATACATAATTCCTTCTTCGTCTGGTGCTTTTCTCTTAACGAGATTCAGATAACTTCTGAAAACTTTCTTTTGTTTATCATCATCCTTTGGAATAACTATTCCATTGGTAAAACTCTTTTCCCATCTTTTATTCAATTCATTTGTCACATCATATCCACTAGCTAATTGAATATAATCTTCTATACCTATCTTATCACTAGAGGAACCCTTAAACGTTTTCTTTTCTTTTAGAATACCGTCGGAAGTTAGACTGATATTGTATTTGACTTGAATATAAACCATACATAATTCCACCATCACCGTAATCATTCTTTCCTTTACAATGTTCATTTTCGGATACCAACCCGGCTTCATTTAATTTATCCCAATTTCTAGACGAAATGTATAAACTATCAGTATATGTATAGTATATTTCCGGCTTATAAAATCCATCTATTACGTGAATAAAATTATTCATTATTTTTTTACTTTGAGATAATACGAATGACCCCAAATGACTAGGTGTTAGTCGTGTAGATTTAGGAGGTATACAGTCAAATTCTTTTTCTTCTTCATTGATCCCAACGATATATTTAGCCTCATTTTCTTTAGGATAGTTTTTGACGTGTGAATCGAAGTTGGATTTTAAAGTTGGTTCACTCAATAGATGTCTCGATGTAGTTATATCCTTCTGAATAGATTTACCATACGATATTAAAATTAAAATATAATCTCTATATGGTGGAGTTTTAAAATTTTCTTCGTACACTATACCATCTAGTATTTTAATAATTCGTCCACCGGCTTTCACTATTTCTTGAATATCGACCGATGTTAAAACATCTGAACAGAAACTATTTCTAAACCTGATTTTAGTACCAGTTTCCTGTTTACCTCCTTTGTTCGTAAAAGTTATTTTATCTTTAGCAGGTATGGGTTGGAAGAACATGTTAGTAGGATATTCAAACCAAACTTTTAAATAGCCGTTCTAAGTCTAAATTTAAAGAGCTTAACAAATTCTTTATATTCTTCTGGTAGAAACGGTCTTCCACTTTCCGCTTTAGGATATTCGCTGTCTAAATCTGACATTGCTGAAGCGTATAGACCGTTGGCGTCGAACGCCATTAGTTTAGTACATTTTATTTTTTTAAGTTTTGAATTAACTTCCGTTTTATCTTTATTACTTTTACTATATTCTTTAAATAAATCAATTATATTATCACTTCGTGTTTCACTAAACTCCTTTAATACATTACAAATTTCATCCATTTTGTTCGTTTCAAATGATTTTCTGTTAGCAGAAACTCTTCCTCCTTTAATGGATTGTCTGATGAAATGTCTTATAAAAGGGTGTGTATGTGAGTAAACTTTTTCTACGTTTTCTTTTTCGGTGTGTTTTGGAACCATTCTAGTAGTTTCATACCATTCTTCTTCAACCATTTCTTTATCGTAATGATACAAATAACACCAACCCCTTAAAGATAAAGAAGGAGCCGTTAGATTATTGGAAATGTTTTGGAATACAACTTCTTTCATAACTTTGTTATATTTTATCATACAAGCTCCAAGACATAACGTATCTCTTTTAGCGTAAGGTTCCCATTCGTGTCTTAAAGATTCCCAATTATCTTCGGTGTATTTTGCAATATTGATATCAGTGATCTTTCTCAAATTCATTGGTATATTAGATGAATTTCCCCATGCCGCCAAACTAGATTTTTCATCTTGATAGAAACATATGAAATTAATATTTTGCAAATAATTAAATATTCATCGGTGAATGAATTAGTTAAAGGTAGAGACAGAATGCCTATAGTTGTTACTAGTGGACACTGCGTTAGTTTTTTCGCATTTTAAAGCACGATCCAGTTATCAAAACCGCTACTGTTATGAGAAATTAATATTAATCTTTTTTGATCTATTTTTCCTAAACGTTGCAATATTTGATCGATGCAATCTTTACCCACAAATATTTCTACTATATTCATTAATTTATCATAAAATTCTTCTGGAACACTATCAATGGGATTTAAATCTTGAAAGTTATGTTTTATTCTGTCTAACATTTTTTTTAGTTTTTCTAAATTATTTAACATGCAAGAATAAGGAATGGCTTTATTCGTTTCTTTTTTCGCTATAGGTTTCGCAATCCCATGCGTATAAACAATCATCGTGAATTGTTGGAAAAAACATTTAGTTTTAGAGGTGAAACTCGTGTTACCGCATTATCATCTTTACAAGTTCTCTGTGTTACCGCATTATCATCTTTACAAGTTCTCCATACGTTTTCATCGTAATTATCTTCTATTTCTGTAATGGCTAAGGTTTTGGTATTTCTTCTAATGAGACAGAAATGTGATTTATGTAAGTAAAATACCCAATCTAATTCCTCGGATACTTTCTTTGGTTGAAAATGTCTATTTTTGGGCATATAAATTTGAAAATAAGTATTAAATTTCTTATTGAATTCACTCATTCTAGCAGTTGTCATAACTCCTTTTCTGTTTGATTTTGAAAAACTGTAGATGAAATCTTGAAATTCTTTTGTGTAGTCTTTGCTCAAAACACGATTTACGCACTTTATAAAGCAGTGTCCATTGCTTGGTATGTAACAATTTGTACCGGCATATTCATTTATCTTTTTGAGTAGGGTGGTACCACTACTCTTTTTTGATTTTTTTATTTCTTTGAAATTGTTTTTACGTAAAATGATCTTTCCTGAGAAATACCTATCAGAAGTATCCGATTTTACATTCACTGTTGCGAAGAATTTGTGAAAAGTTTTGGCATTAAAGCCTAGAAATTGCATGTTTTGTTTGTGTCCTCCATCTTGAATTATCTCCCCATCTAATTAAATTTGTCCTTTAAATGTTATAAATTTATCAGATATAGCCTTAATAACATTGGAAAAAAGCACATTTGATATGAATGTTTTATCGTCTAAAATTTCAATTATATTCATATTTTTAAGTATCTATTTTTTAACTAGGAATTTTTCACTTTTATTGATGAAATTTCTACATCAAATTTATCTAAAATTGCATTGAATTCTTCTAATTCTTCAATGGTTATGTTCTTATCCTCTCTCGATCTTTCGAAAAAAATGAATAATTTATTAAGATATGTATTTAAAATTTTTGTTTTCCTTTTATAATGAGCTTTCTGTTTTGATGTAAAACCTAAAGTAATCAAACCACAAGATGAAGTTTGAACGGCCGTGAACGCGGCTAATACAGTTGGGACGATGATCGGAAGCATTAATCCACCGGTTACGGCTGTTGCCACCGTTATCCCTACTGTTAGAACTGTACTTAATGTTTTGGAAACAGAATCAATTCTATTCCATGTTTTTCTGCATTTGTTGAAGTGTTTTAGTTTTTCTTTTAGTTCAGTTTTGTCTGCTTTCTAGTTCCATTTTTTAGGTAATTAAATTAAATGAATTTCTGATAAAGCAAAAGCTGGAAAGTGTTTAATATCTACAATAGGTTGCCCAGTAAGATCTCCACCATGCAGTATTTTTTCATTATCTGTTATAATTATTTCAGGTTTAATAATAACAACTTTTACAGTTACATACGATATTTGTTCTTTTGAATCATTAATCTTATTCAGATGAACTGAAAATTTTGGTTTTTCGATATCTACAAGTATATATACCCCCAACTTCTAATCTACCATTACGTTCAATTATTGATGAAAATATTATAAATTCTTTATCTTGTTGACTTTTATGAATATCAATTGAGGTAAATAAATCAGTTGATGAGGTATTTTCGAATGAAAAGCGTTTATTAACAAATATAGTTTTACATATTCAAAGTCGGTTGCTCTTAAAAACTGATAACTGATTGGCCTCCCTTCTACTTTTTGTGGTTCTGGATTTCTAATAATACTTACTGATGGTGGACTTTCCGTTTCCAATATCATATCAAAATGTAATGTAAGAAAAATATCTTCATTATCTGGTATGATTAAAATTCTTAACCTATCTATATATTTTCCACTCGTTTTAATTTCATATAAGTGATTAACCTTGCTGTTTTCTTTAGTTTCTACATTGTCTCTACCATTGATAAACTGAAGAACTTTACGAGCCGTAAATAATTGATTAGATGAAAATGTGTTTTGTCTGAAGATTATTGAATCAACTTTTACCTGCATAGGAAAAAAAATTTCAATTACAAATTTTCTTCGGAAATAAAAATATGATGGTTGATCATTAACATCATGAAATATATAATGGGGGTTGATAACTGAAGGATTAATTACTCTTATATTTGCTCTAAATCCATATTTTTTTATATTCATCCTCTTTTGATTTATCAATAGTATCAGTAATAGAAGCATCTTTATCACTCAAATTTCCAAATGGAAGATTGAAATAATATGATTTATTTTCTTTCTTGAGATTCTTTGCTAATGCCGCTATATTTTTTTTCCTGTTTCAGAACTTCATCATTAATAGTGGTTATCACTATCATCAATATTTTGTATTTGTTGTTGAATATAGGTTTTGATTTCACATTTCAAATTTCAAATCCTAGAGATTTCATATTTTTGTTATAAAATTCACTTCCTTTATCTACCCAGAGTTTTTCTGGATGTTGGCCAAATTGTTTCATAATCGTTTCAAAAGCATGTTTGACTGATAATCCCCTTTTGTTTTTCAAAGGAATAACCCGAGCATATCTCGTATACAAATCTATAACTGTTAAGCAATATTGATATCCTTATATACTGGTATATTAATTAAATCAGCTGACCATATTTCATCTTTTTCAAATACTTTAACTTTTAAAAAGATTTCAGTTTTTTTTACATTCTTTATGAATTTCATCTGCTAATCACATGCCCAATTTCATCTTTGCTTTTAACAATTTTATGATCAGAACCCTTTGCATTCTCTCTTTGAAAGTTGGATTTGGAATATTTTCAAGTTCGATTATCATTTGTCTATCTGCTTCGTGTCTAAACTTGATGTCTTTTTTTCTGTATAAAATATTATGTTTAAGTGCAGCGGCGTCAACTCTATTGACTGGTTCTTCATCCGGTTTGGGTTTATCGTTTTCGTCTAGTCGCAGATCTAACCTAGTACCTGGACCAGTGTAATTATGACCCGGGAGATCTTTTTCTCCGGGATATTTTGCCCATGGAAATCCAGGAAGAGAGCCTAATGATTTTTGAATATCTGAACCAAAATAAGTTTTTGGAGCGTGAGCGACTATCATTTTTATCCTAAAACTTTAAAACCTTTTCCTTTCCTTTCTTCTAATCTCCTGTTTCGCAGATCTCTTATTAGTTGTAATTCTTTCAACTCGTCAGATTGTTTCACTGCGTCGCTTATACTCTTTCCCGCTTCCGCGATAGAACCGACAGCTTTAGCTTCCGAGAAAATGGGGGATTTGTTTTTTGAAACAAAGCTAGCTACTTTTGGAATTATTGTTTTACCTAGAGAAAATATTGATGAAAAGATACCGTCGCCTGAATAATCTTCGAAATTGTGTTGTTCGTGTTTTAGAATTAAACTCATCCTATTTTTAAATGAGTTAATTTAACGAAGAAATTGTGGTCTGTTTTTCCAAAGAAGAGTTATCTTCCTTCTAGAAGTTTCTAGATTAAAACTATAAATAACATTATTTAAAACGAGGCTGTAAAAAGAGGCTATTAAAATAACCGGATGTTAAGCGAAACAGGGAAGTTATTTTGTATAAGGGTATTTTTAATATGCTTTTTTCGTCAAAACGTAATTTAATGATGAATTGTAGGTTCTTTTTGGGGTGTGGGAATTTGGAGTGGGAATTGATTGAAGGTGTTTTTGGTGTAAGAATTTATGAAATGTAGGGTGTGGAGGTTTTTGGTGTAGGAATTTATGAAATGTAGGGTGTTTGGGTCTTTTTTTGGGACCTCTCAATATGTTTCGCACTTTCCCCATGAAATGAAATGGGGAAAGCCGTGCGAACATATTGAGAGGTCTTATACTACTATGAACAAAGACTTTAACAAATTCAATTTGTCGGTCATCTTAAGAGGTAGTATACCTTTAGGAGTGTCGAATTCTGACAGAGGATGACTTCCGTTGTACTTTCACAGTGTGAAATACAACGCTCAATGCTGACGACATTCAATAACATTTCCTACCAATTAATATTTCAGAAAACCACAAGCCAAATTGATAAAGACCAATTTAACAGTGGATATCGGAAGAGGTTTGTAAATCAGTAAATCCGACGATAAACAATGAAAAACGAAAGTAGGATCTCAACTTCTTTTCAAAAGCTTGCATCGTAAAAGTGATTTTAACTCAAAAAAATACTACCAATACCACAATATGAGTCGCGATTAATAGGAAATATAATATGTAGCAAATCGATCGATATCTCTGACTTTCTCTCCATGGGCGCCTCCATCTTGGAACATTGCGGACTTTTTTGTTATTTGGCTGATTCAAATTTTCACAGACATTTTGGGTCTTCTAGAACTTAGTATACATGCAGCGATAAATTATACATGTAGATGTGGTTAAAGGGTAATTGTTTAAATATTTTAGAAAATCGACTGATTGAGTCTGGCGTAGTGATTTCAAATGGCGGTCAACCCAGTCCGTGTCTGTTAGTTCTACATAAGAAAGACACGCAGTTTCGGGTGATCAAAGATGATGGAACAGTTTATTGAATCAGTCATTTGATTGGCCAATTACAGAAATTCATTTCAGAGACCAAACAGATTTCCGTATCACTTTAGGATGAGATGAATAGCATGTGGACGAATATCTATAACTTTCAAGGACCACACCAAATCTATATCTTTTCAGGGGTCGTGTCACATCCAGAAGAGAACTGTAACAAGATAAAAAGGAGCCAGACGTGGAATGCCAGAATACCTACTGGGTATATAAATGGAAGTCACTGGGTATCTCTGATATGTAACAATACTCTCAATATCGCATCCCTCAGATCCTGTTTAAACAACACCAACCTTATTATGTCTGGTGACTCTACCACGCGGCAGTATTACCAGTACCTAACTTCCAAGATTGTTCCCGACTGTAAACAGATAACCAAAAAATGGACCACGCCAAAATGGCACGAACCGGCTAAATGTGAATCTAAAACTAGAAACCTGACGATTTTATGGAATCCCCATGAATTACCCTTTGTAAACGCAAAACGAGAAGGTCAAATTACCAACCTAAAGTCTACTGTAGAAATTGTGAATGGAATTAAGTCCGGTGAAAATGTTGTATTCGTTATACATTACTATTGTCATTTGATTCGTAATCACTACACTATTTTCATTAATCAACTTCGTATTCTTAAAGAGAGTGTAAAGAAAGTTTTACTGCGAAACAAACAAGTTAAAATTTTGATTAAGTCTCCTTATGCATTCGATGTCCAAGATTGCAAAACACAGATAAGTGATCTGCACGCAAAGATATATGTTGAAATTATAAAAAGAGAACTGCGAGAATTTCAAGATTCGATAGTGTATATGAACATCTGGGAAATGAGTGTAGCTATGGAACAGATTGGTATACACCCGAAAGAAAATGTTTTATGGGAACATATACAAATGATGTTTGGTTATATATGTAAGTGAAGATGTGATTTATATAATAATAGGAAATCTTCAATCTTTACAATGGTCAGGGTATAACGTCTTCATCTTATACCTTGACTGTAATTGCCAAATTTCTTGTTTCACGGTCAGCGATGCGATTGGATTTTACGCCAGCGAATACAGCCAATCAGATTCCAAATTCGATTCCATGCATAATAAATTTTTACAGTCTTTTCTGCCGAGGGTTCAGATTGGCTGTATTCGCCAGCGTACAATCCAATCAAATTGCTGCATTCGCATCGGTGAAACAAGAGTCAAGATATAAAATGAAGACATAATACCTTGACCATTGTGACGATGAATGGGAAGAAATTTTCTACATATTTCTCAACCCAGTCTACTATTCCATTATATTATGATGTCTCCATGTTTGGCCATGTAGGGGCTTCGTCTTTGACTGGCCAGTCCGCCATATTGGATATTCGTCACTGGCCATATTTGAGAAATTATAGGAATAAAGAGTATTTCACCCCATTGTACACCGATATATGTTTGATTGACATCCCAGGACCCCACTGGCACCAAACATTTCATTCAAAATTCCATAGCAGACCATCGGAAAAAAATGGCCATGTAGAGGCTTTGGCATTCGTCATTCAAAATTGGATTTCTGCTAATTCCATCAAAAAATTTGCCCCACCCCCATAACTGTGAACTGTGCAAAAATTTGCCATGTCGGTGATTCGCCTTTGGCTGGTCAGTCCGCCATATTGGATAACCGTCACTTGTAACAACAGCGTTAATTACCATTTATTACAAGGACAACATATCATACACATACCTTCAGTAACGAGGGGGAGACATGCTCTTGGGATTTCACAATTGAGAACCGAACCTTTCCAAACCAGCCATGATGTTCGTCTGTCAATGTCTGTCTCACACAATCACTGAATAATAAAACGCAAATCTTCATCTTCATACCGTAACCGTCCAACTTCAAAACTATTCAACCTCTCGACCCAGTGGTTACTTCCCGAGGTAGCAAACACCTGATTCACAAGAGCACTGCCTGTATTCCCAGAATCAGTAGCGTCACATTGTCGACATGGTATTCTGGACAGTGCATCTGCATTATTATGTTTCAAACCGGCCCTATGTTCTACATCAAATTCATATTCAGACAAATGCGAAATCCACAGTGCCAACGGTCCTTCCGGTTCTTTAAAACTCTGAATCCATTTCAACGCCTAATGATCAGTCCTGACCTTAAATTTTGAAGTGCTTAACAAATGAAACTAAAGCTAATAATTCGCGCCTAGTTGCACAATAATTGCGCTCGCTCTTATTAAGAGACCGACTGGCGTAAGCAATGACTCTATCCCCACCATTTTGAACCTGTGACAAAACCGGTATCACTAGCATCAGTGTCTAATATGAAATCCAACTTCGGATCAGGATAAGCTAATATCGGAGCTTCGATCAGTCTCTGCTTTAATATAAGAAAAGATTGATTACATTCTGGACTCCAGACAAATTTTTCTTGCTTTTGTGTTAATCTTAGCAACGGTGCTGCAATTGTGGAAAACCCCTTTACATATCGTCTATAGTACGAGGCAAGGCCCAGGAACTTCTGGATATCTATCACTGGGAATAGGCCAATCTTTAACACAGGCTACCTTTTGCGGGTCGGTTGATACCCCATCTCCAGATACTATGTGTCCCAGACAGGAAATTTTCTTTCTGAAACAAGTGGCACTTACTTGGTTTAGTCTTTAACCCAGCGTTCCGCAGCCTGCCGAACACTTCTCCCAACCGTTCAATATGTTCTTCAACAGTGCGACTGAAAACAATGATATCGTCTAAATAAACCAAGCAAATTTCCCACTGCAAACCTCCAAGCACAGCTTCCATCAACCTCTGAAAGGTGCTTGGCGCCCCACATAACCCAAAAGGCATTACATTAAATTGATAGAGTCCATAGTTCGTAACAAATGCAGTCTTTTCTCTATCCTCAGGCGCGACTTCGACTTGGAAATATGCCTGAAGAAGATCTAAGCAGCTAAAAATTCAAAAATTTGATTAAAGTTCAAATTTTATGAATAATACTTACCTGACATATATTACATATGAATTTCATTACTTCATGATAGCTTTAAACTCGCCCTACTTCCGGTTCAACTCAGTGTTAACCGGAAATAGAGAAAACGTGTACTACGCATGCGCGTTGGCATGGTAAACACTACCTAAATCAGTTTCCAGCAAGGCGCGTGTGGTCGCCCCCTGTACTGATTATGTGGGGAAAGGAGGGAGGGTGCGTAATATATGTCAGGTAAGTATTATTCATAAAATTTGAACTTTAATCAAATTTTTGAATTTTATTTCATAATACATTACCTGACATATATTACATATGAATTAATTCAGATTCCCAAAGCTACTTAGGTGGTGGGTAATTAGTATTTTAAATGGATTATTTTACATCATAAAAAAGAACTTAATAATCTTTTAACTTCAAAAACACTAACCTCTCGAAAAACTCGCCGGGCATCTCTGTGGCTCTTGCCACTAACAAAAGTTGAAAAACGGAGAAGCTACCTTCTCCAAAGACAAACCCTTATATACAATTTTATTAAATAATTAATACCCAAATTAAAAACCAACACCATAAACAAAACAAATTTTACAACCGTAACCCCTCATTATTTACATCCTGCAAATAAAATTTTACAAAAGTTGAGGATTGTATCCAATCAGCCGTCTCCATGATGGAGCGCATAGAAGCTCCCTTGAAAAGAGCCCATGATGCACCGACTGTTCTGGTTGAATGGCCTTTAACAGACAAGAATGTATCTGCATATGCCATTTGGATTGTCTTAACAATCCATCGAGATATGGTCTGAGCCGACACTGGATTATGAGGATTATTTAAACCCAAAAATACCTTAGTTTCATCTATATCCTTTTGCCCCCTGAAAGCCTCTGTAGACTTCAAATAGTAACAGAAAGCTCTTTTAGGATCAAGTAATTTATCTGCAAAAGAAGCAATATTAATTAGTGGACTGACATGTGAAGCTCTGTCCTGTTTCGACAGACCTTGTCTTACAAAGGTCAACCCCCTGGAAAGTATATTTACATTACCCTCTCCTAGTCTTAGGGATTGCAAATCACTGCAACGCCGAAAAGAAACTATAGCAAACAGAAAAACTGTCTTATAAATAAAATGTTTCAAACTTTTCATTGGCTCAAAAGGAGGTTTCTTAAGTGCATTGAGAACTGTCATGAAATCCCATTCTGGTAATAATTTCCTCTGACGAGAATTAAAAACCCCCTTTAATAATCTTACGATATACGGATGCTGACCTACCGGTACGTTATCTACTGGCAACATAACCGTTGATAACATAGACCTATATCCCGATATAGTTCGGTAGGAAAGCCCATCATCATAAAGCCAGGCCAAAAAATTAGAGCACTGGTCAAGAGATGCAACATAGGGATCGATATCCCGTTCAGCGCACCAAGTGAAAATTTTCTGAACTTGGAATCATAATCCCTTCTTGTGCCCCCTCTCCATGATGCCGACACGAGCTCTCTAGTTTTCTGAGAAAACCCCTTTGCTTCGAAACGTTTGTTGACAATCGCCATGCAGTCAATCTGAGACTTCCTGGATCTCGATGAAACATTTTTGGCTTGCCCTGATGTAGGAGAGTTTGTGATACTGGCAACATCAATGGCGACTGTATCAACATTCCCAACATTTTTGGAAACCAAATCTGTCTTGGCCAGAATGGCGCAATCAGAATCACTTCGCACTGAAACAGTTCCATGTGATTCAGAAACAAGGGTATCAGACTGATTGGCGGGAAGGCATAAGCAAACATATTGTCCCATGGAATCGACAGTGCATCCACTGCAAAAGCCTGTGGATGATTTTGCCAAGAGCAGAACACTGGGGTCTGTTTGTTGTGAGCTGTTGCAAAAAGATCCATTACCGGTTGACCCCAAAGGGAGAAGATTTTGTTCACCACCAGTCGATTGAGCACCCATTCCGATGACAGAATGTTGCTGCGACTCCATCTGTCTGCTAACACATTGTCCACTTCCTTTATGTGTGCTACTTGAATTGCAATATTGTTCTGGAGAAGCATCTGCCAAAGATTCCACGTCTCCTGGCACAACAATACTGACCGAGTCCCGCCTTGTTTCTTCAGGTATTGCACTACGGCGGAATTGTCGGTTCTTATTAAAGCCACCTTCCCTCTCAGCTCTTGTAAAAAATGCTGAATTGCCAGATGGACAGCCTTCAACTCTAGCCAATTTATGTGATGATGTCTCCAATATACTGGCCATGCCCCCTGCACTACTTGATCCTCCAAATGAGCACCCCAACCATGGAGTGATGCATCTGTTGTTAGGGTCAGAGCAGGCACCAGTGGGACCAGAGACCGGCCTTTTGCTAAATTTTTCATTTTCGTCCACCACAACAAATGCGTCTTTAGACTCTCGGCTGTTGGGATATGGACACTCATACTCTGCATGCTTGGATTCCAGGTCTGCAATAAATGACACTGGATCGGTTTCATGAAAAGGCGAGCATTGGGTATCAGTTCTAGACAAGATGCTATCATTCCCAACAAACGAAGATAATCCCTTGCCGTATTCTGTCCTTTTAAAATTTGATAAGCCGTACGACTTAGATTCTTCCTTCTCTCCGAGAAAGGCAAAACCATTCCTTGTCTGAATTCCCAAAGAGCTCCCAGGTATTCTATTTCTTGAGATGGGATCAGGTGAGACTTCTTTAGATTTACTATGAAACCGAGATCAGTGAAAGTTGTCGGGACCTTTTCCCGATCCAAAATCAGCCTCGATTTCGTCCCACTTACTGTTAAAATGTTGTCTAAATAAATAGCCATGTGGAAATTTTGTCGCCTCAGATGACCTGCCACTACCGCTAAAAGCTTTGTGAACACTCTCGGAGCCGAGGTAGGGCCGAAGCAAAGTGCCTTGAATTGATACACCACCTTCTCCACACAAAAACGGAGATACTTCCGATGCTCTGGCCAAATGGGAATTTGAAGGTAAGCATCCTTTAGGTCTATCGAAATGGCCCAATCTCCCTTGCTTACCATACCCAAAACCTTATCAAGTGGTCCATCTTGAAATGAGTCTTGCGGATATACCTGTTGAGTGGCTTCAGGTTGATAACCGGACGCAGTTCCCCGTTCTTTTTGGGAACAAGGAATAACGTACTGTAAAAACCTGAATGGATCTGTTTCTGGAACCCTTTCTATAGCATTTTTTTCCAAAAGGGAATTTACCTCTGCCTTTATAAGGCCAAGCTCTTTTTGGGAAACCAGAGTGGGCTTTACCCCCAAAAATGGAGGTTTCTTTACAAATTCTAGCTTGTAGCCTTCCTTTATTATCGACAAAGCCCATTTGTCTGATGTGATCTGCTTCCAAGGTTCCAGAAACAGTGACAAACGACCTCCCACAGGTACCTCCAGAAGATCTGCCAATAAATCCTTGCCCCCGAACTTACCGAGTCATTCATTAGACTTCTTGTTGGGTCTGTAAGCCTTTCCTGACTTAAAGTTAGGCTTTCTGTCATAGCCCCTGGTGTATGGCTTCTTGTCTTGGTACCTCTCTGTGAACCGTTTGGCACGAAAACTATAATTAGAACTGGTGTTATAATTAGCAGGTTTATAAGGTTTATATGACAAACGACCCCTCTTGAAAGGTTCAGGTTGTTGTACTACACTACTCTTGCGTTTGCGCGCTTGAAAATCGGTTAGCAAGTCTTGCATGGTTCGCTTCTGTTCCTTGCGAACTTTCAACGTGGTCTCCAGGCCAGGACCAAAAACACCCTCTTCTGACAAAGGTAAATTTGACAATCGTCTCGCCACATCCAGTTCGTATAGAGCAGAGTCAGACATAGCCACCGTCCTTCTAATGATGTGGTGAAATGCCCCGACCCTACCTAGTTGGTCAAGACTTTTAGTTGTCATAGCGAAAATATTCTGAACTTTTTCCACCGATTGTTCTTTACTATCTGAACCAGTTGACAACCCTTCCATTAAGGACTCTAAAGCCTTTTGTATGAAAAGCTGAATATTAATACCCATGGCCGCTGCCTGATGGCCACGATACGCAATCTTTTCCACCATTTTATACGGCTGTCCGAAAAGTGCCGAAAAGTGATTAAGGGCATCCTTCCCGAAAATATCGAAAAGGCTCTTGTCTGTGACATTAACATTAGATTCTTCGGTAGAAGGCACAACTTCCTTTTCTAAAACAGGCATACAGTTATTCTCATCAGACTGAGCATAGTCTGAAGAAAAGCAATTAATTTCGCTCTGCCCTGGCTGTAATGACAACACATCATCATCCTCATTGGAAGAAATAATAGATTTATAATTTTTGAATTTGGCCCTTTTTGCTGAAGCCTCATCTTGATAAGCATTGTTATAGTTGTCCAATCTTTGAGATTTATCACGAATAGGCCTAGTCTGATCAAATCTTTGTGATTTGTCAATTTTCCGATGCTTCTCGAAAGCCGCCCCAAAAGTGGGGGCAATAAAAGTTCGTTGGTCAAAAACCTCAAGAAATTTATCCAATTTGGATTCTAAATTAGAGATACGATCACGCGTTCTCACCTTATTATTTGTCGTCTTAGAAGCTTTGTGCTTCGGACAGTTCTGAGTTGCGTCCGATTTATTCTCACTTCCGATTTCGGCCACAACATTTTCATCACGGACAAAATCCGAATTTGCTTCTGATTTGTCATTTCTTATCATCAAAGAACTTCGAAGAGAGTCGTCAGACATCTCTTTCCAAAATAAACTCTGAGTAAATAAAGCTAAACTAAAACACGTGCGAACACACGCGCCGAGCTGAGTTGAACCGGAAGTAGGGCGAGTTTAAAGCTATCTTGAAGTAATGAAATTCATATGTAATATATGTCAGGTAATGTATTATGAAATAAAATTGTGGCACCACTCAAAGCATCCAAAGTTTGATCTATCCTGGGCAGTGAATATGCATCTTTCTTGGTTTTGGCATTCAGCTTACGATAATCAACGCAAAACCGACTAGATCCATCTTTCTTTGGTACCAGAATTATCGGACTAGACCAAGGGCTATGCGATGGGCTTATCAACCCTCCCTTCAACATGCTATCGATATGTTCCTTTACTAATGGCTTCTTGGACAAAGGTAATCGTCTACACCCCTGTCTTATTGGAACACCATCGCCTGTGTAGATAGGATGATAAATTTCAGATGTTCTCCCTATATCATTCGGCCCCTTTGCAATAATATCAGAGTAAGAGTTCAGCAAATTTGACAGGTCTGACCGATGTTTCGGGTTCAATAAAGCAACATCAACATCCAACCCCAAGAAATTTTCTTCCTTCCCTCTACTTACAACACTCAGGGTCGAGCTACCGGTCACCTTTGTCACCATGTCCACTACATCCTGGAACAAACCAACTGTCGTATCCTTGTAAATTACAACCGGCTCAGGAGCAATATTCGAGGCCCTCTTCCAGAATCTGAAATGACTAAAACTCTAGCAATAGCAACGTTAGATTTTGATGAAAATATCTTGGAACCCTCCACCATTCCAACCTGTTTAGGGTACGAAACCGTTCTACCCTTAACAAATAATTTACCAGGCAAGATCATCTCATGCCCCCCTGGAATTGTAACTGTTTCTGCTAAAGAAACTCGACATACAATACTTTTCTTTGTATATCGTAATGGAATCGTTTTTCCATCAATCATAAGTTTCCGTGAATGGATGTCAATTACTGCTTTACTTTTCCTCAAGAAATCAAGACCCAAAATGCAGGGTCAGTGGCTACCGGTACACGATGGACTATATCCGCATAGCCCAGTTGGAACGTTAACTTCACCTCCCCCAAAATATGTATAGTTTCGCCATTAGCAGAAATGACAGATTCAGAAAAAGTGACCAGACGATTACCCAGAGGTGTGCTCCGGCCTGTCGCACAAATTTCATCCCACAACCTCTTATTGATAAGCGTATAGACAGATCCGGTGTCCACCAGCATATCCGTTGTAATCCGTTCTACTAATCCAGAACACAGTAACGAATATCTTACACAATCTGAACTTTCAAAGCCTTCCCCCCTATCCTTCAAAGGGTTATTTACCGACGGTTGTCCTGCACTTCCGGTCGCTGTCAGTTTCCCGAAAAATTTTGCTTTGTACAATTAGCCTGGATATGTCCATAAGACCCACAGCTCCAACACTGACGACGATCTGACCGATCACCAAATTTCGTGCAATTTCATCGTTGATGGCCAGCTTCACCACAATGCCAACATTGCATATTTGGGACACACCTCGTTTAGTCCGCTCTCGTCCAGACGTGGCCCCAGCTGAAGATATAGAACTCATACCTGACAGGAGTTTAGTCATCAGACTTATTAGCTCATCTGTTTTAGATGCGGTTTGCCCTCCAACTGCACCGGTCAAGTCGCTCACCACTGGTGTTGGTTTGTTAGCACTTTGATTACGTACATCTCTTTCTACGGCTTCCCATTCGATACTCATTCTAACAGCATCATCTAAAGTTGCCGGATTCATGTGTCTAACCTTCAAAGATATATCAACCCCACCCAATCCCCGTAAAAATTGGTCCCTGGCCAATTCGTCTCGTATACCTACACTAACAATGGGATATTCTTTCCTAGCCAAAATTCTTAATGCATTGCTAAAATCCAAATAGCCTTCATCAGATTTTTTGATCCGCGTCAAAAATTCGGATTTGTACAAATCAGGACGGCGAGTGCCATCAAGACGCCTTTTTAACTCATCCTCCAGGAGGATCCATTCCCTTTTTGCCCCAGGTTCTATATCGTTAAATACCTTACGAGCTGAACCTTTAAGCTTGATGGCCACAAACTGACACTTTTCCTCATCTGTCCACTTGTTGACAGCTGCACAAGCCTCAAAACTCTCCAACAAATCAATAAACTCTTCTTCTTCCCCTGTAAATGTGTCTGGAAGAACAATTGGCCTCACAGGCCCTTTACTTGTACCATCATTTTGTAGTACGGACCCAGATTTTGAACCTGAAGGTTCTTGTCCTACCGAAGCGCACTTATCACCCTTATGCATCCTTGAAATAAATCAAATATAAATTAAACAACTAATTTTATGGCTGGGGGATCCAACTTGGATCTCTCCCACGGAGATGCTATAACCTAACAGTACTCACTTTTAACCAACACTCATTAACATATATTTCCCACAGAGATGCTATAGCCTAACAGTACTCACTTTTAACCAACACTCATTAACATATATTTCCCACTGAGATGCTATAGCCTAACAGTACTCACTCAAACATGAAAGTAGAAAATAACATAAATACAATTAATATAATTACAATACATTTAAACGGTTCTCTTAACTCTTTTGAAATCTCAAGACTCTCTGTCCTCCCCCTCGCTTTCACTGACCTCACTATCCTTTCTGCTATCTAACTCCCTAACTGAATAAGCACATTCTTTTTTGCACACATCAATCAGTACTCTTTGCAATACCCTTTTTAAATCTATATCAAAATGTAACCCATCCGGCAAATGTTTGGCGTCATTCCTATTCACCCAACGATGAGTCCCATTACGACGCTTCTTTCTTGAGGATTTAATAACATGCGAATGCCAGGAAACAGTGTAGCACACTCGAGTGTGATTTAACTGAGTTGCATTATTCAATTGTTTAGTGCCAGCATTTATTTCTGATAAAACTTTATCAAATTGTTGTTGTTGCTCACGGTCTGTATCGGGAGCAGATTTATTGTATTTGTGAAAAATAATGGGTGGTGTGGTAACAATACCTACTAATGCACTTGGCAGAAGACCTTTGACCTCGGACTTCAATTTGGATAACCTATCCAAAATGCAACCGGCAGATGCCCCAGAAAAAACTAAATTTCTATTACCTACAAAGGTCGTCAAGCTAATTTCACGATCGGAAGAACAACATTTCCATCTGGAAGGTTTTTCTGTACTAGTTGCAGAATATCTTCGATTTAAGCTCCACTTTGAGAAAAACAGCTAAGATCTACTTCCTTGTCTGTTAAAAATCTCTCAAAATTCTTTACCCTGGAGTCTCCATAAAGGCGTATGTGTGTCCTATCTTTACTAGTACTACTGGTATTGTCGGATGGACCCGGCAGAGCAAGATCCGAGCCACTCCAGCCACCACTGTAAGATAACAACAACAGCGTTAATTAGCATTTATTACAAGGACAACATATCATACACATACCTTCAGTAACGAGGGGGAGACATGCTCTTGGGATTTCACAATTGAGAACCGAACCTTTCCAAACCAGCCATGATGTTCGTCTGTCAATGTCTGTCTCACACAATCATAAATCGCACGGACTTGCATACCACGTGATCTATCCAAATAGTCCAATCACACCAGGCACAAGCTACCCGATACGAGTGTCGACTCGTACACAACACACTGGCCAAACAAATTTTGATAACTATGTAATGATTCTATTCAATTCATGACTTTTTATACATCAATGAATGGCAATAAAATCAATCCAAAAAATTAATGTATCCATCGGCCACAAAATTTGGCCGGCAACTGAAGTCATGACGAAGTGTCAATTGACATAATGGAAGTGGCGAAATGTAGAGGAAATGTGATAAAGCCAGAAAGTGTCCCGCTGTTCTGTTATACTGGTTAAATACAAAAGGAAAACCAAAATTGTCATAAGAAAAAAAGATTACCAATACAGTCAACGAGCTAAACACATGTTTGACAAATGGCACTCTGGTTGCGGACAAATTCTTGATGGCTCCCTACAAAGTATTCAAAATTCACCTTGACAATAAGACTAGAAGCGCCTGGATAATTGTGGATCCACCAGAGTGCTGTAACATTTCATTACATTTACAATGTATTAATCTCAAACTGTTTTTGACAATTATGTATAACTTTATGTGGCTATGCGAGCGTTAAGATGTATATTATGTGAAGCCACTTTGAAACTGAGATTGTCAACCCGACATATCTTTCTAAGACTCTCCATGACTTTATATATCCAATTCATAAACGAATAATTATGTAGAATGTTTTTGTGGTACGAGTTCACTCACATGTAAATATAGAGTTATTACCCGTTAGTCGAAATCAGTGTGAAAAGCTTGTAGTTTTAGTTTCGGTTAGTGTTAAAAGTAGTCAACCCTTTACGTCTTTCATGCGTTTAACTTTGATGAATTTTAGGTTTTTGTCCTTTAGTGGCCCAAAAACATTATAAAACTGATTTGAATGATATTCGCAATTATGTTTCTCCTGAACTACAGACGTCGAACAAGAAATCAAAATTGACAAATCCCGTTTCAGAGCCCACCCACTCTGTGGAGCTCGGACTTGAACTCAGGAGCTAAAAGGCTAATGGGGTTCAAAAATGACCTTGGGACAATCTTGTCCGCCAGCATGAGTCCTGTAATAGTAGCCTAAAACTGAGGTTAATTTTATTACAGATTATGAAACATCGTCACTCAATATTCCTAAAGTCCTGCTTAAAATAAATTTGAAGTATTTTATTTTCGTATTTTGTTTTCATTTCTTCATTAAAATTTCAAATGCAGAGGGCCTCTGTCTAATTTTCACCATTATCATTACAGATTTTAATATTATTATTATCATTATCTAAATTATCAATAATCTGTTGGTACAATAAATGAGGACCATTGTAACCATTATCTTGAAAACTTTCTAGAAATTGTATATAATGTTCAGGTAAACCGCTCCGTTTGGCTCCTCGTACAATAACATCTTTATATTGAGGGGAAGGCGCTTCACCAGGATGATCTCCATTTACCATCTCAAATACCAAGCAATTGTAAGTATTCCCTGCCTTGTCTTCTATATCAGTGTTAAACGTCCGTAATAAGGCATCTTGGCTGAAAAGGTAATAAAGATTTTGAAAACTTCATATCTAACAAGACCCCACGATTTATAAAAAAAAACTTTCAGTTCCCAAGTAAAGACTAAGTCCTGTTGAAGATTTAGTTTCATTATTCAGTATCTAGTCAGAAGGTCTATGGTGTTTTGCCACTCACTATTCAACGTCATGAACGTTCTGTGTCAAAATAGCCATCATCGTAGCGTTTCAATGTGTGCTGTAGTTAATTTATTGGTGTGGTTTTCCGACGAGTTTCGAATTTGTAGTTTGAAATACCGGTACCCATATTTAAAATCTTCAAACAGACAGTTCCCTAATGATGTATATGTAACACAGTGCATCAACTAGATGCATGGGAGCCCGTGAACTCTTTCTACAAACATTCCTGCATTGTTTCTGGCGTGGGGCCTCCTTAGGGGTAGGGGTTTATGGACTTGGTTCAAGCAGTCCCTATGTTAGTCGAGTCACTGGTAATCAGAGATTGTTAGCTAAATTTGTGAATCAGCGATGATTCTATCTGAGATATCTCCTTAGAAAATAAACCTACCTTTAATTTCCCGACGCAAATAAATTTTTTATAGGCATCTGGTTTTCAACCAATAAACGCTCCTTTAGTAAGTTACTGGTGTAACAGCTGGGCTGTTCGGGGTTCGTAAATGACGGAGTTGACAGAGTCTCTTTGTTAATCAGCCAGTTATCAAATTATTGGATTTATTAACAGGCTTCAATCTTTACATAATACTCAATCAAACTCGTAAAAACTGAAAAATATTGAATAAAAGACACTTATAAGTCTTTAGCTTAGTAAAGAGACACTGAATTAACTCTACATTCTATAAATCTATAAATGCGGAAAAATTGGCGAGGACAGGTGGGCACATGAATGCCAATTTAGGGTTGGACAGGTTCGGATTATTCCAAATTTCTTGCAAAATGTTATTAATTAATAATATGACAATAGAACATGTATAAGATATGCAATAGATTAATTGGAGGTGCGAACATAACATATTATACAAATAAAAGGACCAAATATATTACCTTTTCCCCGATTAATGGAGCTTTTAACAAAAACAATTCCTTTTCTTGAAATTTAGACCATGCTCATCCATACTTGTTTTCTTGTGCCAAATTAAGCCTAATGCGCAGACTCTGTTAGTCTTACTTTATTACCAAAATCAGTGCCTCCTAAATGACCTTAAGTTTATGCATCAAGGGAACATAACTGGTTGTTTGACAGCAGTTACAACTGGCATATCCAAAATATAGAAACCTTTCCTTCTCCATAATCTACAAAGATAAATAAATATCACACAATAAATCTTTGAGGTCTCGATAGATATTTATATGATATATAGATAAAAATTAAATTGAAGCATCTAGTTCGGCGCTAGACCGGTTGAATAGCCTATTAAACTTTCAAAATGATAGGGTAGGGCATATACAAATTTATACACAATAGGCAGTTATTCTGGATCATTGAAGAATGAAAATATTTGAAATATTTTCAAGCTTTATTATGATATAGACTAAAGAAATATCCCGGTTTGACAAAGTTTATCAAAACATTTTGATTCGTTTTCAAAGTCGTATACATGGTCACACATCTTTGATGACATCGAGGATAAAGATATAGGTACAAGGGACAGATGCGGCATTTTTGTGACCAATCGTACCTTAGTCTCAGAACCGAATTTTTTTTAGCTAAGCTAATCAGTAATAGTATTCACAGCCCACCGTCGAAATTTGACCCTTCAAATCCATGTGTGTCCAGAATAATCAGCTTTGAAAGTTAAAAAGACGAGTCTTGTCTCCTTGAAACATTACAATATAAAAAAGAAATCTTTAGAAATAGGAAAAGAAATTCATTCATAGTTTGGTATATTTTTGAAAGAATTATGCGAATTATGAAGATTATTTACATATATTCAAGACTCAAATCACCCCCCCCCCCCCCCCCCAAAACAAAAAACAAACAAAAAAACAAATGGCGCATCTGTCCCTTTAATACAGGTCGAGTCGCTCAGCCTGGCATGGGTAGAAATAATATCTACCAATATTTCCATTTTTCTCCGATTTTATTAAGGGTTATTTCGATCAGGCGGCACAATAATCTTGTTACTTTAGCAACGACAGTTATCACATCTAACTGTTGCTTTCACAACACTATATTCTCTTCATTAGAGACTCCTAACCCCCTCTGCAGATTATACGTCACCATTCAAATTATCCAATTATAACATTTGGAGTAGATGATAGTAATTAAAAAGTAAATTTGACTGTACATGTCTTGCGTCTGGTTATTCAAACATTTTCCTGTAATATTTTGTATGGAGTCTAGAAGTAAACTCTCTAATTTGACTTATTGTAAGTTTTGACGTGAAATGTATGCTAACATTGGGATAATGTTTGTTGGCAGACGATAACCTTTAAAAATTTTATTTTTTTTATTATAATATCCATCTATCTAACATAAAACAGAGTAAATTAACATAAAATTATATTATGTAGAACAAAACGACCACTGCATGGTTTTATTTCAAATTAAAATCAATGTATTTGGTATTTGAAACAGTAATATCTATTTCAAGCTCAAAAAAGTCGACCTCTTTCCTACATCTGGACCTAGGCTTATTTAGAGAGATAAAGCCATTACCATATTTAACAGCATGACACATTTTAATCAAGTCAACATTCAGGTTGGTCAATGTCCCAAAGTTCCATTGTCCAGTTCGTTTGGTTGAAAACCTTTTTTCTTTCTGATTAACTAGAGTGATGGCAGAGGTTGGCAGCTATCCCGAATGCAAATTTTCGGGCATGACTCTCATAACTGGGTTAGACATTCGGGCAACCTCTGATATCTCATATATTTAGATACACATCTGCACGCAAAGATATATGTTGAAATTATAAAAAGGGAACTGAGAGAATTTCAAGATTCGATAGTGTATATGAATGTAGTGTAGCTATGGAACAGATTGATATACACCCGAAAGAAAATGTATTATGGGAACATATACGGATGATGTTTGGTTATATATGTAAGTGAAGATGTGATTTATAATAGGATATATCTTCACAATGGTCAGGGTATTACGTCTGCATCTTATACCTTGACTGTAATTGCCAAATTTCTTGTTTTATGGTCAGCGATGCGATTAGATTTTACGCCAGCGAATACAGCCAATCAGATTCCAAATTCGATTCCATGCATAATAAATTT